CGTTTCCCGTAAACGACGATCAATGGTCAAAAATAATCCTCTATTGGATGTATTAAGATTAGGGTATTTCACTGCATTACGCCTTGCGGCTGCTGCAATATTTCCTTGACAATCACCTACGATATTCCTGATAGTTTATTGAAATTATAATTTAATCTAATCCTACTTACCCAAAGTTAAATGCATATCTGCCATTTCTTAAAATGTGTAGGATATTGTAATACCAAAATTTTTAATATTAATCTTATTCACACAACAAATGATAGCTTCAAATTATTCACTATTATTGATGGAACTTGTCTTTGTCGACTTTGAAAAAGCATTTGATACGGTCAATCAAAGTGAAATGCTCCAAGCTCTAACACAATGTAGAATAGATCACCGATACATATCTCTCATCAAATACATCTATCAACATGCTACAGCCTGTGTAAGACTTAATAAAGATACTGGGACTTTTCGTATTGAAAGAGGCGTTCGGCAAGGAGACAACATGTCTCCTAAATTATTTACAACTTTGCTAGAATACGCTTGTAAAACAATAGATTGGAACGAAAAGGGCATCAATGTAGATGGAAAATTTTTAAATAACCTTAAATTTGCAGATGATATCGTTCTTATTGCAGACAGCTTTGGTCAGGCACAGATATTGCTCCAAGAACTCCATACTGCCACAAAAAGAGTTGGTCTTAAAATAAATTTTTCAAAAACACAATTTATGACAAATTTAGTCCACAACAAAAACATCTCAGTAGAAGACAAAGATATTGAGCCAGAATAAGTCGAGACAACCAAACAATCGAGCTGAAAAGAAGAATAAACCTCGCTTGGGCTGCATTTGGAAGGATGAAGGATATTTTTAGGTCTAAGATTCCAATGTGTCTGAAAAGAAAAGTATTTAATCAATGTATTTTGCCAGTGATGACCTACGGCGCAGAAACCCTAACGCTCACAAGAACAACAGTGAGTAAACTACAAGTTGCGGAAAGAGCAATGGAGAGAATTATGTTAGGGATTTCTCTAACTGATAGATTACCCGAAATTTTCGAAAAGGTGATAAGAGGCAAAACAGTTTTAAAAATATTATGTTAAACTAATGATGCCACAAAATTCTTCTTCTTCTTTGTGTGCCCTGCTGCTTGTATTCAAGCGTTGGCTATCGTCATATTGACAAGCTGATGAAATGATTCTCGGTCGGCAGCTAGATGAAACAGTTCCTCGACCTTTTGACCTGTCCATGTTACGCAGCCAGGACAGTTGTTTTTTTTTTACCCAACGTTTTCCTTCGATTTTACCCTGAATGATTAACTGGAGTAAGCGATATTTAGGTCCTCTCATTATATGACCGAAGTATTGGACCTCTCTCATTTTGATGATGTTGATCAATTCTCACTCTTTGTGCACGGTGTCTAGCACACGTTCGTTAAATATATGTGCTGTCCACGGGATTCTGAGCATGCGACGGTAACACTACAACTCAAATGATTCTAATTTGTTAAGATTTTTTATTTTTGTTGTCCAGGTTTAACATCCATAGAACAAAATGGACCAGACGTAGCATTTCAATACTCAGACGTGTGGTCAACGACAGACTTTTACTGCATAATACAGAACGCCAGTTAATAAAGTTTTTCCCTGCGAGTTCTATTTTGGTCGAAATTTCCTCGTCACTTTCAACCATGCAGTCAATCGAGCTACCCCATCTAAAGTGTTCCACCCTTTCCAGAATTTTGTTATTTAATCTTAGTACTGAGTCTTCGATATTAATTTTTCCAACCACCATCCATTTTTGTTTTTTTTTGCGTTGATTGTTAAGGCCTTTTTAGTGCATTCGTTGTTTACTGCATTCAACAGAGTTTGAATATCTTCTAGACTCTCTGCCATTATTGCTGTATCATCGGCGTATATCATTGACCCACAAAATTCATTTGATTTGAATGTTCTCAAAAGTTTGGGGGGATTTAGGCCTGCACCTCCACCCTTAAAATATTTCTGAGCGTTTAGATTTTGTTGGTTCTTTTTTATGAAAAATGCTTTCAGAACAAGTAACGTGTCCATTTTTATTATAAAATATTAAGTAGTTTAGGAGATAATGCAAAAAAAATTTATATTTTGTAACTTCAAAGGGCTGTAACTTTTTTTATGTACACTTTTGTACTAATTTGGATTTAATCAAATTATTTTTCTCCCCGGAATACGTGATTTGATTTATGACATACCTTTTTGAAACACCCTGTATAAAATTTAATTTGACACAGCCTTTAAAAAAGTAGATTTTAAAATAAACAAAAGAATGAATTTTTTTGAATAATCGTTTAAAGCCAATGAGGATACATAGTTTAATTCCCAATGATAAAAAAATACAATTTTAATATAACATAATATAATAGAATATAACCTGGATATTGAAAAATTCCTGGTCAAAGTATCTAAATTTACACCACATTTTCCAGCCCCTGTAAATTTTTGATAAAATGGATTGAAAATTAAGCTCGGTACGAAATTCACATTGAAGAAATATCCCATTGAGACTAAAATGAAAGGTGTGTCAAATATCCGGATCTCGGAATTAGGTAGAAAAAAATTCACGCTTTCTTCTGGATATCAGAGATGAGTTATAACCCTCATTGATACAAATACAGAAAATTTTCTGATAATTATGCGACAAGATATAAAAAAATATTCATTCACACAAGTTAACAAAACTGATAAATCTATTTTATATTACTAAACATGGATTTTTGAATTTAATTTTGAATTTTAAAAAATCACAATAATTTGATTTTATTTACAACAGAATATCTCCTTTTTAGAGTGTCTTTTCACTACGCAGGTTGGCAATAATAATGGTTATTTTTTAACTTATTTCTCTAAATAAATAAATCAATCTGCGTTGATACCAATTACGTAGATTTTTCAACCAATAATTCTGCCTTTGTCAACCGATCTTCTTTCTTAAATATTTCCTGTATTAGCAAAGTTGATAATACTGCATAAACTTTCTACTTTCTACACAACATTACTTTCCTATTTATTCGCATAGAGTAACGGTTGGTAGCGATTGGCAAACTGACTAAGAAATCAGAAAGAGGAAATAATATCAATGTTATTAATAAATTGAGGACCCTCGAACCAGAGTAGCCCAAGTGATATTTTTTTATATTAATTTAGACTTTATCACAAAAAACGATGTGAAATAATCATATTTTTAAAGCCACATAGTGGGTATACAATATACACAAATATACAATAAACAAAAAAAATTAACGATAAAAATAATGTTTATTATACCGTATGTAAATATGAGATATTTTTTATTTTAACCGAAAAGAATTTTTTATTGAAACATTGTCTTTAATATATTAGATACGATTTTTTCTTGCAATATATTATATCAATCCAAATTATTCCAGGCACTGGTTATATTTCCATCAAGAGCTGCTATTCGTAATACTCAATTTTAACAGAATCGAGCGTCGAAAAAGAAGTAAAAAATTATCGGAATATTTCTCAGATGAGAGAGCTATTCCACGGTGTAGTTAAACTAAGAAAATTTGCATTTAATGAGCTTTTAAAATTCAAATTGTATTCTAAAGTAGGTCCATTTGTCGAGGGTTAGCAAACATTTTTTAAAAGCCAATCTCGGCGTCAGCAGTCGTACTGAAAAATTGAGAGGACTGAAGAGGCTTTCAGCAAGCAATGTAGCTAAAAATTATTACTTCTTTTCTAACTAGTTTATATATATATACATATATATATATATATATATATATATATATATATATATATATATATATGTATATATATATATATATATATATATATATATATATATATATATATATATATATATATATATAAACATATGTTACGGGCAAAGCCCGAAATTGGACAATCCTAGCATTGTACGGAAATTATTGTCCACTTCTAGCATCATTGTACCCCCAAACTGTACAATGTCCGAAATGACCAAAATTAAAAATGATTATCGAAACGCACACCAAATCAAAAATCGAACAATTTGATCTTTTATATTTATATATTATAGAGTTATTCTTTTTCAAATCGACAATGTGATAAAATGTTAAGTCAAACTAAAATATAAATAATAAGAACAAAATTGTTCTACAATAAATAGAGTGATAATGTTAGTAAATATCGATATGAATCGATATCTGTCATATTCTCCCAAACTTTGATGCATGGCTACTTCTTGAAATTCAAACATTGTACAGCAATTCTTTTATATACAGTCCGCCGATTATGTCTATTTCGGAGATTGTACAGAAAAGGGGTAGACAATGCTAGAAGTGGACAGAGTTTTTCGTACAATGCTAGGATTGTTCAATTTCGGACATTGCTCGTAACATATATATATATATATATATATATATATATATATATATATATATATATATATATATGTATATATATATATATATATGTATATATATATATATATATATATATATATATATATATATATATATACAGTAGACTCGCGATTATCCGAGTCTCGATTAACCGAGCCTCTGGATTAACCGAGGTAGTAATTGAAAAAAAAAACAAATTATGTAATAAATTAGCTTAAGAGTGATATCAAGTAAAAGCGTTGCACTGGTTGTTGGTATGCTGAAGAGATGAGTCACTAGTGTTATTGTTCTAGCCACTGTGCTTCTACTGGATGCCTCACCAGCCAATCCTCCACCCGTCAGTTTGAGTCATAACAATAGATGTTCCGTTAGTCCCACTGTAAGCTCTTACAGGTTCATTCATATCTTCTCTTTGTGTAGTTTTTACGTAACTTAAAGTGCAATATGAGTTTAAAATGTAAACGAGTTGTGCTTTCTGTGTTTATTGCGGAAATCTTTGAAGAAAGGAGAATACGAACAGACCTCTTAAGCCTTATTTTTAGTTTTTTAATCTTCCAGCATTGGAAAGTCCAAATAGCGGCCCCATGCTTTAAGCCAAGGCTGTCGAATTTCACAAACGGTTTAAGGATGAAGGAAAATTTTACTGCAAGTGATGGTTGGCTCGACAGATGGAAGGAGAGGTATGGCATCCGATAACTGAACCTTACGGGGTGAAACAGTTTCGATCGATTCATTCCGCCAAGCAGAATCATGTCTGTTTGATGCCTTTCCTCTATTACTAATCATAGTTTAACAACACACTTATACTTAACAACCAGCGAAAAAATTCAGTATATTTATATATACATATATGTTTTATTGAAGGAATAAAAAGCAATATATCTGAAATCTTATCTCTACCTAAATATTTAAACATACGAACTAAAAAATGTTCAATTAATGTTGTATTATTATATAAATTTTGTATATAATTTTATTGTTTTTTAATTATTTATTTTTTTTAGCTTAGAATCTTTAGGTATAATGTAATTTCTGTATTAATTCTTAAGATATCATAATTAGTTTATAAAACTGCGATTTGTTACTGTGAAATAAAATTTGTAAAATAAAATTGTCACTTTAATTTGTTAATGCTTCAATAGTTATGCTTCACTCTTTGTATCCACATCCAAATTTAAAAGGTAGAATTATATGTGCGTTTTTTGAAGATTACTGCTCCAATATTATTATAACTAGTTTTATACTGTCAGTATGTGAACTCTCACGAATTTGTTCATACAAAAACTTATTTTATATGAATCAAAATATCTCATAGATTTGTTATTTTTATTACTGCTGCAATCAATAACTTTTTGACTAGATAAACATGAAATATTTATGTGTTCCTTTGTCCATAATTTTATTAACTACCTAATTTTTGTCCGTAGGAAATGTGTTCAGTTTAGTCTTGTTATGGCTTATATTCATAAATTCTAAAATTTTGTTGGGTTTATGAATAGATCCACGCTGTATTGGCAATAATTTAAGTAAACTTCTTTTCTAAGGTAGTTTTTCATTACAAACACTAATAGTATCACTGAAATTCTCTATTCTAAAGTATACGCTTGTTCAATAATTGAAACCAATCTTTGGCCAAAAAAATATTGGCGAATATATTAACATATGGTTGCCACTATAATTAAAGCACATATCCCATTGTTTTACCATCCATTGTATAACCTGCTTAAAGAATTCTTGTGGTTATTGCTCGAAGAATTCTTTTGCGGCATTTTGTACACTTTTTCGTCCAATTAAAACGATTATCTTTTAACACCTTTTTCAGTGACCCAAAGATGTAAAAATCGTAAGGAAATATATCGGGAGTATAGAGTGGATGCTCTAATATCCTTCATTTCTTTCGTTATAAATTTTGTTTTACTACCCACTTTAGCAAACATGAGACATCACGAGAATGGCACTACGTGAAAGCTTTCCTGGACGTCTTATTGCTTGACAAAGCTAGTCCAAAGTTTTGTTATACTGGTTTGCGTTGATATATGCTCTAGGTTCTGTAAACTCTATGGGCAAGGATCCTTTATGATCAAAAAAAAAGTTAACATAATATTATTTATAGAAGGTTAAAATTTAAATTCTATGGGTGGTTGAGATTTTGCATGTTTCCATTGCATCAAAAACAGCTTACTGGATGGTTCAGACAGCAAGATTCTCATCAGTAAATATTGACGAAAAAAAGTCAATAACGTTTTGCCTATATTTCGTTAGATGTGGCAAAATAAACCAATTAGTAAGCTTTTTTGGACCTTTGACAAAAGGCGACAATTTTTTGGGGCCGTTTTTTGGGGAATATTGTGAATAAGAGATACATCTGGGATATTGAGGGTATGATTATGTTATTTCAGATGATGAGAGAAAGTGGAAGTGTTTTCTGTGTGCTTTAAAGATAGTTAAAGACAATGATCTACAATTTCTTCCTATATAGGAATCACAATCTGAACGTTTTCCATGAACAGTGTTCCATCACAGTCTGAAAGTTTTAGTTTATAAACACCCCTACGGTTCACATAATTGATGGGCCAGTCTATACCTTTGGATAAGATATACACAGGCCGAAATTATTGGGTACTTAAAAAAAAGTGGATGTTTTCAAGTAAATGTTTTATGAGATTTCGAATATCTCCAGAAAGACTCTCATGATGATATGCAAGTGAAAAGTAATTAGGTTTGTTGGTAAGGTCTCTAACAAGTGCTCCGTTTTTTCGTGCCGGTGTGTGTATATGTATATTATATATATATATATATATATATATATATATATATATAATATATATATATATATATATATATATATATATATATATATATATATATATAGGAAAAGGAGTACGACCGTCAATCCAATATATTATAAGGATCACTCGGACGAGTGGTGGGTTCTTATATCGGTCTCAAGGTGGGGAAATAAAAGACAAAGTTGATAGGCTACTTTATCTATTTTGAAGACTTTTCGCTTTCGTATTATGAAAGCATCATCAGTTCATCTAAAAAGTACAATATGAGAAATCATGGAGAAGATGTTATTAGTGTTACCTTTAAAAGACATGTAGCAGTCAATGATATTATCAGATTTGTGAGTAAAGGTGGGGAAATAAAAGACAAAGTTGATAGGCTACTTTATCTATTTTGAAGACTTTTCGCTTTCGTATTATGAAAGCATCATCAGTTCATCTAAAAAGTACAATATGAGACATCATGGAGAAGATGTTATTAGTGTTACCTTAAAAAGACATGTAGCAGTCAATGATATTATCAGATTTGTGAGTAAACTCAAGTAAATGGACATTATACGGTAATATTGTATAAACAATCATTTAACTAACAATATTTAGCAACTTATTAAAAAATCAGCACAGCAACAGAACATGTGGTCTAAAGTATATGTAATATTTTATTTTAATATTAAGCAGTGAAAAAGAACTAAGAATATCATAGATTCACTTCCAACTATTTGATAATTATTTAAGCTTTGATTTTGACTTTAGGTAGCATTATTAAAGTGATTTGAATACAAATTTTAAAAAATGTAGTGTAAATAAAGTTACAACTTAAAGCCTCACAGCTGCCACCGGGAAAATGGCGTTAATTGAAACAGACCAAGCCAAACCGTGAAAAGACAGCCAACCTTGAGGATAACAATTTGACAGAACAGCAAGTTTGAAGTACCACCTCAAATAATTGGGCGGTGTATTTAAAAAGTTCAAATGAGTTTGGATAACAACCCGCTTGTAAGAGACCAACCAATGAAAGAAATTGGTATTATAACAGCAATTCCTCGCATTAACCAGTGTAGAATGAACAAACAGGCGAAATTCATTTAACCTCATATATAAATAGTAAACGTCAAACATTGTGCTGGATAATCCGCCATAGGTGATCAACGAAAAATAATTTCCACAGTCCAAGGTTCATCCACTTGGAACTGTAATTTGTAGAATATTCTATGAATCAATTACATTATTTATATTATTAAATTGTTTATAATATTATTTACTGCTTAAATATATACATATAGTTTAGACCGCATGTTCTGTTGCTGTGCTAATTTTTTAATAAGGTGCTAAATGTTGTTAGTTAATTGATTGTTTGTACAATATTACCGTATAATGTCCATTTACTTGAGTTTACTCACAAATCTGATATTATTGACTGCTACATGTCTTTTTAAGGTAACACTTATAACATCTTCTCCATGATTGTGTGGTTCTTATATTGTACTTTTTAGATGAACTGATGATGCTTTCAAAATACGAAAGCGAAACGTCTTCAAAATAGATAAAGTAGCCTATCAACTTTGTCTTTTATTTCTCCACCTTGAGACCGATATAAGAACCCACCACTCGTCTGAGTGATCCTTATAATATATATATATATATATATATATATATATATATATATATATATATATATATATATATATATATATATATATTGTTGTACTTTTGAATGTCCATAAGCAATAAAAACCGATATACAAATTTTATTACTTAAATAAAAATTAAAATTATTGATATTTCATAAAGACTGGCATATAAATTTTCAAACATCCTGTATAAGACAAAATATGTATTTTAAGTTGTTCGAAGAATTGTTCATTAGGCCTCAGAGACAAGACTATCAAATATTATCGATAAAAAATCATGAATGTGTTGCTTGTGTGAGTCCATATTATCAAATACCTATCGATAAGAAATTTAAATAAGTCGGTTATTGTGGAATGGATTTACCCGGAATAAAAGTGTATATAGAAAGTGTTTAAACAATAGACCGGGATGTGCGGTGGTTTTCCTCCCCGAAAGATTATATCGGTAAAAGTTTATTAACAAAAGACATTGAATTGAGAAACAGGTATCGTTTGTAGCTATTAGTAAGAAATATTTGTAAAGCAGATAGATTTAGTTAGAATAATTAAAGAATGTTGTTTTCTGGAATTACCCGAATGACGTTTTATAGAGAGAGTTGGTTGGTAACGATATACGTCACAGAGGTGGATGATTTTTATTAGTCAATTTTTGAATGCAAGGAGGTGGTGGTTTTGGCTATGAGATAGGAGAGAGGAAAAAAGTAAGTTAGTCAGTTTTCGTCGTCCAAGAAGGAAGGAGCTTTGTGATTTGTGTTTGTTTGAAGTCCCGAAGACGTAATTTACCGGGTGTGTTTATTTGCTGTGTAAAAGCTGACCAGTGTGAGGAACAGGGTACAGAGAGATAGAAAAACCAAAGGGTATAAGAATATTAATATCAGACGAAGCCGGAAACATTTGGAGTTATAAACAGGCGCGGAGATTGGCTCAAAAGGAGGCTGCATAGAATAACACGAGTTGTTGGGTTGCAGATACAAGGACAGATAGGAGAAAGGTGTACGTCATCTGGACCACAATAGGAGCAGAAGCAGAGAAAGGTTTTTTTTTATTTGGCGTGGCCATAGAATTGCAACGGCAGAGAAAGAAAGGTCAGTCAATTTTCATTAGAGCAGGAGTGTGGTTTTCATTTATTAATTAAATAAATTGAATAAATAATAGAGACAGTTAATTTTGCGATCATTTAAAAAAAATATATAAAAAGAGCTTAGTTATAACACATATTAAAAATCAATGTAAAATAACATTTGGGTCCATAATAGAAAACAA